AGTTGTCCGTTTTTTCTCCATAGTCGATTTTTAATATGTAAACATTTAATTCATATGATTAATGGTGTGTCAAAAAGGTTATTGTATGATGAATTTTACTGAAATCGTGAATATCCTTTTTGGCAATTTGGAAATAATGAAAATTTGCAAGACGTCATTCCATCATCTAATAATGGGTTAGAAAAAATATTGGTTGAAACAAGCGAGTTTGATGAGGATAATAATGTAGAATTGTCACCAGAAGAATTTACTAAAGAAATTGAAAAACATAAATATTTTCTTCAGCATATACAAGAAGAGTATGATGCAGGTAGTTTTCATTAATTTGATTTACGCAACATAATGTCCAATCACGCATAAATGTTTCCCACGAGTGAGGCTTTACTGAAAGGGGCAAAACGGAAGCGAGAAATAATGGATGATATCGATCATGCACAAAAAAAACAAACTAGGGGAAGAACATATAAAGATTCAAAAGAACATATAATGTTTTTAAGATAAATCTTTAGATAATATTTGTGCATTTTTTTAATATTTGCTTACTTCAAATTCATATAAGCATAAAACATTTATTACTAAAGCGTTTTAAATAATTTTTATGTTCGATTATACAATATCTCACTAACTTCATTATTCTATTACTCAGTTTAATTTGTGTAGAGATTAATGTTTTATGTCTCTATTTTTTTTTTTATTATTGATATTTGCGTAATATCTTTTTACTTTATATTGACTTAGTGAATAAATAAGATTACTAATTCATTAGCATAGAAATAAGTTATTATTAATTTTAAAAGGCATTTATCATTAAGGTATTTTGGATAATTATGCGTAGAACGAAAAGATAAGAATATTCATTTACAGATTTAAACATTTTTATTAGAAATTGAATTGAATAGTACACTTGCATTAAGAAGCAGAAATTCTTACGATGAACTAATATGAAGACTTAAACAAATCATTAGAGATTGAAGTAGATAATGTAGACGCATTAACAGCTTGCAGAATCACATACAATCTAATTGCAAGTATGAAGAATTTAGATTTGAACAAATTATTAGAAATTAATTTATATCAAAGATTATAGAGACATTTATTGTATGATAGGCAAATATAATGAGTCGCTTTCAAATTTGATCAAATTTCTGAAAACTAAACTAGAAATACATATGCATTAAGAAGTTATGAAAATACTTATCGTACAATAGCAAACATGAAAAGTTACTTGCTGATTTAAATAATTATTAGACGTCGAACTCGATAATATATCTACATTAAAGAATCATGAAGACACTTGTGTAGTTATAATGTGTCACTTACAGACTTTAGAAAGTCATTGGAAATTAAACCGAATAATGTATTTGCATTATTAAATTGTAGAGATACTTATAACGGGCAGATATAATAAGGAACTTGCAAATCGTTAAAAATTGAACTTGTAATATAGTTTGTATTAAATTATTGTGAAGAAATTTTTTGAATAATGGCATCATTTTCGCATCTAAACAAATCATTAGAAATTGAACAGAATAATTCATTGGTATTAAGAAATTGTAGAAACATGATTTAAACAAATCATTAGAAATTGAACCAAATAATGCATTGGCTTCGCTTTTTAGATGGTTAGATAATTTCGAATGGATTTAGGAATATATACCTTAATCGTAATCAGGTCTTTAAAATTTAGTATACATTTTAATAAAATTTTTATTAATTATTATGTATTGCGGATATTTTACTTTATTGTTTTGTTTTGACATTTTCTATTAAAATTCAATGCTATATATTTGATTTATAAAATAATAAATTTTTAAAATCAATTCCAAATAATTTTGTTATGTATTTTTGAACTTGCGTTATAAAAAAATCGTAAATCGGAAAAAATCGGAAACCCATCCAATCAAATTTTGTGTAACCCGGAGAATTTTGGGGGGTCGCTGTATTAGTTATGTGATGCTAGACGGATCGAACATCTAAATTTTTATAATATAGATATAGATAGATAGATATTGTAATTTTTTGTTCAGCTCTTTAAAAAAAAGCATATACCGGTAATATATTTTAATGTCCTTTAAAATCTCCAGATATAGTCTTCGTACTCGTTAAGAACTATAGTTTTTAAAAGGTTGATGTTCAAGAATCAATAACTCGTATAATAACGTATGTATGCATGTATTGATTGTATTATCGTGAAATAACGAGCCTGTGCGTAATTTCGAAAATAACCTGAATTAAGCACAGTAATCGATTTTATTAACAATGATATAAACCTTTGTGTTTGATTAGCAAGTTCCAATAAGTACTCTAAGCCAAGGATCTTCTCATAATGCTCACAGACTTCAAGGCCATTATTAATATCAAGATGAGAACCTTCTTGATCAAAATTCGTCATTGAGTTCCCTTGGGCTTCATTGTCATAGTCAAGAGGTGTAAGGTTCTGTAGAAAACAATTATATTTGTCATACAAGAATTCATAATATATGTACTAAATTGGAAAATATTACCAATTTTTCGCTAACTTTAGAATGTGTATTTCTTCTTGGATTATATTTATACTGTGGATACTTTAGTCCATGATAGATCTTATGAAGATCTGATAAAATTTTAAAAAAACGTTTGATTCTATTATCTGATCTATTCCACATCCTACTGGATTCATGTGAACGTTGTGTGCAATTCTTAGAAGGTTGTGATGCGTCATAATTCCTTCTCCAAAGGAAGTATGCATTTAAAGAACGAGGTGGATTGGGATTTTTTGAAGGTCTTTTTGCAGGACCGAAAAGCTCTTCAACTGTTAGAACAAGGCGCAGAGGTGGATTTAATATTATTTGCAATTCTTCTTCAGTCAATTTTGGAAGCAAGAATTCGAATTTGCCAAAATTTATCGGGGGAACAATGCGATTTGGTGTGGTTTGATTAAGGATTGAAGAATTTGCGTTATTTTGTGAGGCCATTCTTTTTCGACAAATGGTGCAAGCGATTTTCGAGTTTATACATATATATATATTTTATGTCATTGTATCGATCGCATACATCATGAGGAATGGTGTAGATAGTGTGACAATGTAATCAATAAAAACGGAGGGAATTGATCGTATACAATAAATACATTTCCGGGGGTACGGATGCACATGCACTAATTACGTCAAAATCATGCACACTCTGTTTCCACTGTTAACGATCTATATGTATGCGCCATCACGTTTTCATCTTTTATATAAATTTCTAAAAGCTGAATGTGACACTTCAAAAAAAGGAAATCTCTATAGCAAATGGCCAATCGAAAATAGAATAACAGTGGTAGGCATAGCCTTATCATATATATTTAATCTTAGGTATGTACGTAAGAGCTCGATAGCCGTTACATAGACCAGGGTACTTTAATCATTGAGTCGGTGCATCATTATGTGTACATAAAAGTCAAATCATGAAAGGGTTATGCTATTATTTTCTTTGGATCTAAGCTTCCTCCTTGTTTCAAATATTTGATAAAAGAACGCCATCACAACGTAAATAGGATAGTTCGCGTGCCCGTTAAGGTTTGGCGTTCGTCAAGGTTTGACATTGACGTGTGAATCGAATACTTTACGTTAATTACACTATTGTAAAAAAATTAACATCACACTTTTTTTTTCAAAAATAATGGATAACGTCTTGGTAATCATATTCCGTTTTTTGAACACTTAAAAGCTATTTTATTCATTCATATAAAGACGTAATTTGATTACTGAGTAGTGCGTAAACCTCGCACCAAAACACCATAAATTTATTAACCATAAAAGGAAAAAAACAATCATAATTTCGTAGTTGGCATGTCACCTTTATACCCGTGTGTCAGCGTAATAGACCAACAAGCCTATGCCATTTTTTTTTTTACATATTTCAAAGTAAAGCTTATCATATCTTATCGGTTATTCTAGAGGTTGTCTTTTCAAATCTTGATTGGCTTACATGAATTTAAAAAAAAATAATAATAATAATGGGCTTGACAAGAAAATCCTCCCAAAAAATTACGCGTCGAATGGGTAACGCGAATTTAAAGTGTTCATTATAAAAAATTTTTATGCACGATGTAAATATATGTATAACGATAAAGATATGAAAATGAACAACATTAAAAAGAAAAAAAACAAAAAAAAAAAGTAATTATGTATTAATTCGTGAGAATATGCGATATGCTGGCAATAAATAATCTACTAATGACACCGACCCTATTCCCAAAATTTCGTTTAATTCAAAGTCACAAATCAACATTAATCAACATTAAAATAAAGCATAGAATAAGACTTCGGAAAAAAAAAATCATGGATCATTAGTCATTGAACCAATGCATTGAATTTTCATTCTTATCATGTTTTCGATCTCACAAAACTCACAACACTTGCACTCCTGGTTTCGTTTCTTCGCTCATTATTCCTCTAATAATCATTAATTATTATTACCAAAATTTAAGATAGTTCTTAACTCGTCGTCGTTCTCCTTGCATTGCATAACATAAATAAAATACTCTTTTTTATAATAAAAACGAGACTCAAATTGTCCACTAATTCTTTTTCGGTCAAAATAATTTGCATACGATTACAGTAGTACTAGTTAGGATCTCTGCATTTGATTACCTTAGGACCGGTTTTTTTTCTCTCAAATTGGGATAGACGATTATACGAGAAATTAAGAACCTTTTGATGATGAATTGAAAGCGTTATATAAGTACACGGATTCTTGGGTAAGGAACTCTGTGATTCCTTGCCTCGAACATTTACTTCTAATCTTGCATTATTAATTATTTCTTATTACTTTCTGCACATAACACACGCTTATAATATAAAATCAATTCTTTATTTCGTACGAACTATCAAAATGCCGAAAGTTAAGTCTGACAAGAAGCCCGCAAGCATCGTTACCAATCTTAACAATACCACTACCCCCACCGTCATCAATTACCCTCCTCTTCAACCAGCACCCCCGATCGCTTTAGTATCTCCTACCAAATCTGACTCGATGTCTCTCGCTCATCCTGGCGGTGCGTTGCTATTCCAAAAGCAACGTCTTAATGAAGAAGAACATGCGTTACTTCAAAATCCGCCTTATCAACTTACGCTTAGCCTTAATGAACTTCTTTCTCCAGCTAGAAAGAATCGTAAAAATAAATCTAAACCAGAAAACAAAATCCCTAGACCCCAAAATGCTTGGGTTCTCTTTAGAAAAGATTACGAAGCTAATCAACGTATGCGTTTTCCCGACAAGGCATTAAAAATGAAGAATGTCTCTACCGATGCAGGTGACGTTTGGAGAAATCAACCGTCCAAGGTCAAACGATTCTTTGA